CTTCTTCCATAAAATGAATATTTTTGGTATCTTAAACCTGCAAATATCATAGGATTAATGTTAACCATTATATGGTAATTGCACATGTGTACAAAATTTTCCATGCGAAGCGAGAACGAGAAATTTGAGACACGCTTGGCTCCTTACCCCGTCAAATTTTTTTGTTTACAATGTTGGGAAAGAACATCACTGGAGATGTGAGGCATTTGTTTTGAGACAGAGTGTTTGATGGTTGTATACATCCACTGCCAATCTTCTCTTATTTGAACACAAGCAACAACCATCTCGGTGAGACGAGAATCCGGAATTCCGACGACAACAACGCCGGTTACCCCTGGATGTTGTAATAGGGTTCTCTCCACCTACGGATCGGAGATAAGTAATGAAATAAGTAAATGTACTTTTTTAAATCGGTGAATCCGTGACAGTAAAAATCTAGGGTGTATGGGCCGGTTATATGTAACTTTGAGACTCACATACCTCTTCAGGGTAAATGTTCTCCCCTCCGCTCTTGATCCGACCGTTTGCTCGTCCGATTAGCCACACATTGCCAGAGTCATCAACGGATCCAACGTCGCCGGTGTCAAACCATACTTCATTGCCGGAAACTGACTCATTTGGTGGATTTCCGAACCAATATCTGAGCATCACATGTTGACCTCTAGTTAAGATCCTTCCCACATGAGAGGAGCCATCGACCGAGATCTTTAGTTCCACATGAGGAGCCGGCTTCCCAACACAAACACCCCTTTCTTCATGAGCTGAATGCAGTTTTCGTTCATCATTCAACCGTGGAGGGCAGCCAGAGTTGTCAACACTTGGATCATACAGAGTCATGAAGGTTAATGACGAGCTTGTCTCCGTCATTCCTTAAGTTATCGGAAGGTAAGGAGAAACAAAATCGTAAGATTTTCGAATCAAATTTTCAAGGACTAATGGCTCGTCTGGTGTCTAGGACTAAATTGGATTGGATAACTCGTAAAACCGATCAAATCCAATCCTAGACACCAGACGATCCCTATGTAAACGAGGGAACCTGCTGGGATAAAGATAACTTACCATAAGCTGAAAGAAGCTTAGCTTGTGGGAACAATTTAATGGCAGCTTTGGTCAGCTCAATTGACAAGCCTCCACCTCCATTTAACACCTTCTTCACACTATCTATCCCTTTCCATGTTTCCTTCCCCCTGACATATTTCAGAACATGAACACCGAAAAACAATGGACGCAAGGCACAGTACAAATCGAAACTATGACACTAAGCGCTGCAAAGTACAAGGCTTTGGAAGTTGATTTTCTTTGCATTCGTGCGTGCATTACTTAGAAAAAAAGGGTCATCAATTCACCTGAACTTAGAAACCAAATCAGCCATCATTGCAGGAACGGTGATCAGAGAAGTCACGCTATGTCGCTCAATGGCTTCGAGGGCGGATTTAGCCTCAAACTTGGGCATCAAGACATGGCGTGCTCCGATCATTAGCATTGCCAGAGCTGATGACAACCCACCAATGTGGCACAATGGAGCAGTATGCAAGTAAACCTGCAAACATCCACACAATTCAACGTTATGAAGTCGTTCAACTTCGTGGGCTGAATCTTGTTCAAACCCCGCTTTTGTGCAAAAACCTAGTCCGAGCATTCTCGACTACCTAACTGCAAACTACGAAAAGAACACTTACGTACATCATCCTCACCATAGCCAGCAACGGCGATTTTCGCTAGGGACTGTATGATAAAAGCCGAGTGGCTTAGGGTAACTCCCTTTGGCCTTCCAGAGGTTCCTACATATTTAACAAGAACAAATCGATATCTAAAACAAATTAGTGACCGGATTATCTTACAACTAATATCCGAAAAATCTTTTGAGAACAAATAAACACAGTAGAGAGAGCTCGTGCCAGAAGTGAAGCATATGATCACAGCCCCCTCAGGTGCCCAGGAGTAGTTCAATGGCAGCGCAGCTCCTACGGAATGCTTTTTAATCGACTCAGTAGTTAACGCTGGCCAAATGAAGAATGAAGATGAACACATTAACCTAATTGGTTTTCATTACAATTTTCTAAATGTGAAATACATGTCTTAGAAACTACATACGATTATTCGAAGCCCTTAAGACATCCGAGGAAGGAGAATCCACCGAAACATGCCACCTCAGAGAAGGTATATCGCGAAGTTGAAGCTTTGAGTACCAAGGGATGCAGCTACCATCGGTCACTAACATTGCCGGCCTCACTACCTCCATTGCCAAAAGTGCTTCTTCATAGCTCTGCAGGGGTGCAAACACAAATTAAACAGATGCTGGGTCAGATTTTGTTACAGAAAAGTAATTGACAAAATTATGGTTTCAAAGTTTACTTACGTACCCATCGGTAATTAAGAGGAGCAGCTATGGCACCAACATATGCAATGGCTAGTAACCACTCTAAATACAACTCACTGAGAATAACGAAACCAAATATTAGTACTGAGCCATGTTTTGGAATGGCTAAAAGTGCTTTCAGATTACCAAAAAACGCTTCTAACCGTAATTAAAAAAAGATAACTAAATGTGTTTATGGACGATAAAAGCACTTTTTCAGCTTTCTCGAGAAGTTTTAAGAGATGTTTTGTTGTGCTTCTAATAACGTTATGAGCGAAAGTGCTTTTTCAAGAAACGTTTGAATTTTAATAAAAAGTTCGTTTCGTTTCTGGTAAAATTATGAGTAGAAGTAGAAGTACTTCCTAAAATCCTGAACGAGTCCTTAGGATTGACCATCTTTGAAAAAGCATTTTACAAGTGAAGCAGCACCTGTTGAAGGCAGCAATCGAAACGACGTCACCAGAACATATGCCGAGCGGAAGCAGGCCTCGGGCCAGTTCCATGACACCGTCCGCGAACTCCTTGCCCGTCTTTTGGCGGTTGCCGGTGACCATGACCACTGAATTGCGCCGGAGGGTAGATAGGAGGCTCATGCACTGGCAAATGTGGGCCTGTGAGTAATTACCCATTTCTCTGGGGTGCAAACCAGTAATCTACTAAAATTGCTGTTCTTTTGTGAGGCTCTAAGAATTCCGTTTGAAAGAAGGAGCGGGGAGAGAAAGAGAGGTCTGAGCAGAGTGCCATTGGAAGACTGGATTTCAAGTTATCTTATCTTAAGTCAATCACAGCAGCTATGTTACCACACATTGATAATATTTTAAGTCAATCACTTATTATTGTGCAGTATTTTTGTTATTCAAATGTTTTATATTTTTCACATAACAGTACGTGATTGACTTAAAAATTGCATTAAAAAAAAAATCATGCAAATGAAAGTTTATCTACCGTAAAAGTTTGATTTTTCTCATTTTTCTTAGAATTTAAAGGAGGAAAAAGAAAAGAAGGTGTGGATAGCTATTATTACTACACAAAAACAATGAAGGAGAAGTAACTTGAGTCCGGATCCTTGCCGGCTCCTCTTTGGAAGGATTTCGGAGATCTGTGAATCGTGTCTGTTTATCGTACATCGTGCGGTCAGAAATTATTTTAAATATTTTTATTTAAAAATAAACATAAATAGTATATGACAAAAACTAACCGCACGATGTACGATGAACGGACACAATTCACGGATCTTCAGAATCCTCACCAAAATGATCCGGAGAGGATCATGTTGGAAGTAACTTAACATCAAAGTTAAGCCCATATTAATAATTTACCCAAAAAAAATCCCATATTAATAAAATAAATAAATAAAGTTAAGCCTCCACGCTGCTTCGTTGCCAAAGGTTTCAGCAGGAACTCCTGCTTACGCCCAATCCCGAATGCTTGAACACGTGTCCACTCAAGATTAAGTGTAAGCAGCAACTCGTGCTGAAACCTTCGGCAGCCAAGTCTTATTCCACATATAATGTTAATAACATGATAAAGCAAACCGTGACAATCTACTTTTGGCATCACGGATGAAATATGACTATTTCTTATCAAGCTTCTTTTTTTATTTTTTGGACGAATATTTCTTATCAAGCTCTACAAAAAAAGATAATGCCATTCTTTGAATCCAAAACCAGTATCCAAGCTTTACAATAATACAAAGCAAAAGCTTCACCATCACAGCAGATAAAAGTTGCTACACCCAAATTAACGGCCACGCCCATCTTTTCATGTAATCCATCATCCTTATGTTTGATGTTTCGGATTAGATTGAATTCAGAATTTCATAAAATTTAAATATGTTAAACCGGTTGAATTCAGAATTTCATAAAATTTAAATATGTTAAACCGGTCTAAGTAAAAATATCAGTAGGGCTGACTGATAAAGATATCGCCTATGTCAAATGAGACTAAATTGCAAGCAGACAAGGATTATCTGCCCTCCACTTTCGGTGCCTTTCATGTGTCCTCCTGTTTTGTATGGTCACGGTTAAGCCACGTCAACATTTTATATTGTTTTTTTCATAAATATAATAAGACAAAAATAAATAATAATATAAAATGTTAACGTGGCTTAACCGTGACCATACAAACAGAAAGACACCGGAAATCCTTGTCCATTGTAAGCAACCCACATGATTGTAAGACTACGAATGACAGTCTACTCAAGTTTTTTTTTTTATTCGAATCTAGCTATCAAATCCAATACCGAATAAGATTTCCCATTTGCACTCGATGAAATTATGCCTTTTTTGTTCTTTTATTATTTACGGGGTGTAAACTCAAAAAAAAAAAAAAAAAAAAAAACAGAAAAGGTGCATGTGATTTAGGTTGATGTGTGAGCCTGTGAGTGGTGAATAGCAGAGTACAGCAAATCATACGACGACGTTTGGAGCAATTGAAGTCAATATATATTGACTACCGAGTTCTGTCAATTCGAGAGGAGAGAGAGAGAGCGCGACCGACCGCCGCTCACTCCCCACTCGTCTCCGACGAACGACAACAAACTTTAGACTTATCGCTTATCAGTGCTCATACTCTTATAAAACGACGCCGTCGCTGGACCTGAGCCCTCTGGAGACGGAGGAAGAGGAAGAGAGGGAGAGAAATGGCGTTTTTCATCGAAATTAGTGTAGCAGCGATCGCGGTGTTTCTGATTGCGGTGGCGATGGAATCGGACGGCCGAGAGCTGCGGCCGTCCGATCACGGCCTCGTGTACCAGGACCAGGCGCCGGCGAGCGCGAAGTCGCCGACGGAAGAGAAGTCGTTCTTCGTCGGGGGAGGAGGAGGAGAGAATTCGCCGGCGGCGGGTGACGCGGCACTGCCGAAGCCGAAGGCGATGAACTCGAGCGACGAGTCGTGGTGGAAGGGCGTGGTGGCACGTGACGGTGGGCGGGGTAGAGATCTCGTGAGGGACGTGCTGCTGGTGGCGAGCTTAATTTGTGGGATTGCCGGCGTGGCTCTGTTTGTGGCCTCTGCTTTCGTTTACGTCTTAAGGTACCGAAAGCATAAATCTTTACCGTCAGAAGCTCCGTCATCGTGAGGTAATAATTATATTAAGAAATAACTAATGTTCTTTGGATTTTTTCCCTTCAATTTATTTTCCACTTTTTTTCATGTAAATAAAATTAAGAGGTGAATCATATGTGATAGAGGATATTCCAAATTTTTATTTATATTAAATTTATCTAAATTATTCATCTAAATTATGATAAATATGGCGGAATTCGAACTTTAGTGCAAAGAGAAACATAGGGCTACCAACTTGACTAAATCGAAATCTACTGAATTAGTATTAATCAACTTTTATTACATTGATACTTTTTATCATTAAGAGCTTGTTGAAATGTGCTTTTAAAATATTCTTAGAACAAATTCTTAATAAAAGTTCAAGTAAATTCTGAAAAAACACTTAAAATGCTTCGTGGAAGAAAGCACATAATTAGTGCTTCTTGCATAAGGTGCCTTTGAAATAAAAAAATATTTTCTTTAAAAATGTTTTCAGTCATTTTAAAAGTACATCCAAACGAGTACCTTCCAAGTTTACATTTCCTTGCCTCCAAATGGATAAGAGTTTTAATTAGTGAAGTTCATATCACTGGCTTGCAAGGATATGTAGCCTTGATGATCAAAAGTGTTTCCTCGAACAATATGAGGAGTAATCTTTTGCAACGATACGTCCTAGTCAATGAGACGGGGTTTATGCAAAGATCTCTAAATTTTAAAATTTAAATGGTTGATTTTTCAAACCACTCTGGTAGATACCATGAAAACAGTTGTTGAATTTATGCTACATACTTTTTTTAAGATTTAAATTATAGTTAACACTAGGTTGGTAATGTATCGATGTATAGCTTTTATGTGGCATTAAATTGTTAGAGAATGCGAACTATGCATCCTCGTGGTATGTTCCGATATATACGATGAGAAATGTTAAGGAAACTCTTCATAGATTCTTTGTCACCTTACAATTTTTTGTTAATTTCGTGTCAATATCATGAACATTATGGCAAAAACATAAAAGTGACAGAGAGTCTTTTTAACGTTTGAAATGGAGGGGGCATTGTTGGTTGGAATGAGGATCCTCTCCTGATCCTCTTTGTGAGGATCCTGAGAATCTTCAAATCGTGTCCGTTTATTGTACATCATGCGGTTAGAAATCATTTTAAATACTTTTATTTAAAATTAAATATAAATAATATCTGATAAAAATTGATCGCACGATTTACAAAGAACAGACTTAATACGAGGAATCCTCATTCTGTAGGCTGGTGAGGTTATAATCCAGATCCTCATTATGTTGGCTGGTGAGGTTATAATCCAGCCCACATGACATGGTTGACTTTGGGGTAGCTTGTGGTCCACGTCACAAAGAATCAAAGACGATAATGAACTTAAGAACGCCTGCCTTCAATTCAATCTCCATCACCATTCATTTCATGTGGTCCTTGGCATACGAATCAGATGATGATAAACAACCAAAGAACATGGTTATTTGCGTCGGATCTTTTCCAAAGAATCGGATTCGGTTTAGTGATACCTTTCTTCCCGTTAATTAATTCTTAGTTTAGCGGTGTAATTTTACTTCAACGTGAAAAATCTCAAGTTTGAATTCCCATCTAGAAACTCAGCTTTACCCATTACTTTCAAATCAAAGATTTGGTTTAACTTGTGGCACAATAGCCGTATTTTCTTTTCTTTTTTGTCCCATGGACGGAACGGGGTAGTAGAACCATTCTCAATCTTGACTTCTCTATGTTTACTAATCCTATTTCTTCACTCCTTTGCGTTTACTAACACATGGAATGGAATCATAAAAGTGTGGGATTTACTTTCAAGTCCCATAATGAAATACTTAAAATTTAAAAATCAAGAACCAGATCGACTAGGTGGTACTAGTTGATCCCGAATCATGACTTCCCCTGTTCCAAGAAAACATGTTGTCAAGTTTACTCTTCCATTTTCTTTCACCTCCACTAGGTCCACTTCCCTTCTAGAACTAGAAGATTCCAATGTGAAATAAGCAAAACCATTGTGACAAAGGGAATTATGATTTGATTTTTCTCAATCAAACGGCTATCCATTTATGACAGAAGGGCTACGATTCGAGTCGTGGAAACAATCTTGTAAGCAGGAAAAAAAAAACAAACAAACAAAGTAAGGATAAAACTGCATATGATAGAGGCTCTCCGCCGCAACCCCTTGCAAAGCAAGGAACCTTGTTGGTTTGGGATCGTCCTTTATGCAATCCATTAACCGGAGAGACAATTGAATTTCTATAAACAAGTGCAAAAGAATGGAGTATGGTGCCGTTCCGTACAAAAATATATATAACTCAACCAAAAATTACAGGTTTTTATTAAATAAGATGGACAAAAAATAATTAAATCGTTTATCTATTGCTCAAGGGGCATCCACTCTAGTTCTAAATCTATTTCTCCACACTCAACATTCTGGAGCTTCAAAGACACCTCTTGTTTTACCTTCCCGTCGACAATGTTAACAGTGCTATCGTCTACAAGGGCATTGTCGTGCGATTTCAGCCATTTCCCGATTTGCATGTTCCCAAACATTCCTGCATCCCCGAATGCCATCGCAGATGTTATCAATGGCTGAAGATCAACCTCTGCTTCTCCCATTATGTCATCAGCCGAGAACGTGTCGTGATCAAACACCTGCTGCAATGTGACAAGCAGAAGGATTTCGGTAAACTACTTCCCATGTAATACATAAAGGTTTCTGATTAGACCAGAGGCAGAGGCTAATCTGTGATCCATGTATACCACAATTTACAAGTGAAAAAAAGGATAAAAGGAAAAACCTTTTGGAAGCAGTCAGATTGCATCAAAGTTTTCCTTGTCATCAACACATATTTTGTTATGACATTTAACATAGGAATAGCGGGAGGTTGACGTGACTGCTTCCGGTGAGTATGGAAGAATGAGAATAAGAACTGCTATTCTACCATGAACGGCTAACCAAGTTGTAGAAACATATAGCAAACTAGTTTTAATTTGGGTGTGTATATATATAGAGCGTGAGAGACCGTTATCCACGTATGAGTACAAAGAGAAGGCAGAGCAAAACATCTCATCAAAAACAAAATGTTTGCAAAGATGAAGAGGAAAAAAGGCATAGATATACGTACCAACTGTAAAGCTCCAAATCGCTCAGGTACAGACAGCATGAGTTCCTCATTCCAGACGGGATTCAAGTTACTCTTTATTACAGTCGTCCGAATAGTCTACATTATCACCAACATTGTCATCATCAAATACAGAAATGTCAGTCTCAAGTGAATAGAAATTCAAATTCTCTTATTAACATATCAGTTCGCAATCTATAAATAGGCTAATACGCTTAATCAAATCTAGCCGTTTGCATGTGTCAACAACCTTGCTCTTTGAAAGTTTTACTCCCATGTTCCTTGTTACATGCAAACAATTAAAGATGAACTCTCTCTCTCTCTCTCTCCCGATCCCCTCTTTTCGTCCCTCCAAACCCTGTTTTTCTCTCTCTAATATCTCTCCTGGGGATATTTTGGATGTTCACTTTGACATGAAGCTCAAATAAAAGAATGTAACCAGGAGGCTAGGAAGTAAAGGGATCTCATAAATTCTACATGCTTCTGCATATCAAGCAGATTCTGTAGTTTCAATACCAAGGAAAAAGAAAATCGAAGAATTATTAACCTGCTTCCCAAGAGTCAGGATGACATAAGGATCGCTTGTCATCATATCTCGAATGGCTAAATTTGTGCCTCTAATCACCTTAACCTTCAATAAACCAATAAATTCTACCATGCCTTCCTGCTGCATATTTGAAGTATGGAACAAAGTTATATTCCACTCTCACAACGTATATGAACGTTTACTTTAATACTCAAACTACATAATTGAAAGGCAGACATAAGGTGTGACAATATTTACCGATTTCTGTGAAGAATTTGAACGGAAACTATCGATAATCTTTCGAGAAAAACTATTTGATTGGAGAGTGCTCTGGAGAGAGTTCTTTCTAGAAGGACCTGAGTTAATCCGCAAGCTAGGTTTCAGAAACTCTTGAAGCTCATACTTTGACCTACATGAATATGTGACTACTTTAAACATCTGAAAAATAACCCAACAATTGAATCTGCTCCATGGTAGATTCTAATTCTATATCATAACTAACCGGATGAATTTTGAACGTTCCTCATGACCGGCATCTGGTCCAGGCTTTGAAAGTCCCTCAGGAATAAAAGCCTCGTAAATTGAATTAGCAGAAGAATTTCCTCCAACTTCTATCATTGCATCAATTTCATCATCAGACCATTCATCCAGGGTCACTGACAAAACCTGAACATTTCAAATTCATGTTGTTTAAGACAAATATATAATTGTAATAATGCACACGACTGGAGACATCACATCAGCATATAGAAAACATAAAATAATAATGAATATTGATCAATTAAGCAACATTTGACAGATCACCGAGCAAGCCTGAAATAGTTCTACCATGCCTGTCATCCTAGAAACGAAAGAAGGAAAGCCAAAGAGAGATTTTTTTGGTAAAAGGACTGAAATAAACTTTCCAGTTTCCCTGCATTGCAACTCAAACAACCAAGGATGAACAATCAAAAGAACTTCCTTGATGAAAGCAGATTGGAATCAATTAGTTATTTCGTTCACCAAGTTACAAGTACCCTTTTAGCTAGTTTCATGTTTTCAACTGGCAAATTGTTTCCATTAAAAAAATTTAAATTGGATGCATCCAGCAATCAGGAGCGGTTACCTTTGATATATGAGTACCAAGACTCCTGTGCACACCACAACATTTTAAGCATATAAAAACTCCGATGTTTGCTGACCTGCAAATGCAGTTACGAACAGGATACCTTCCAAGTCAGAAGGATATAGGATGGAAAGTAAACTGTCCTAAGAATATACATTTATTTTCAGATGTCCTGAAACATGTGTATCTGAATTTGGGATGTCGACTAATAGCTTTATACGACACACTCATCGTTAAGCTCTGAAGCTTACTTACAAAACAAGCATG